CCTTTTCTGTGCAGTGCTGATCCCTTGAGTCTCTGCTCACATATCAGTGTGTCAGGGAGGCCTTCCCCAACCACCCTGTATAAAATGGCACATGTACGCCCAGTGGTATTCTCATCCCTCTTTCCTGCTCCATTTTCTTCATGGCATGTAACACCACCTGACATTGTGTGTGTGTGTGTGTGTCTGCTGTCCATCTGTCTCTTTCCACTAGCACGTAAGCTGCTGAGGGCAGGGGCTTGTTCACCTCTGTATTCCCATCACCTGGAGCACATCAGCCCTTCCTGTCCCCTTCGAGATCTTATTCTGTAGTTCCCTCTACTGCCTAAGTTTCGTCTTCCTTCTCCATTGGATAATTTCTTGTCATCAGTAAGCATTTTCAGTTCTTTCTCCTCATCGAAAACAAACACAAACAACCTGTCCTCAGCTCTGTACGTTCTGATTATCAAGACATTGGTTTCTATGCTTCCTTTCAAGTTTCTGGAAAGAGTTGATGTGTGCTTACCCCCTCCCCCTCCCTCTCTGGTTTCTGCCTTGGTCCTCTGTACCAAGGCTTCCATCTTGGTGTGCTGGCATGACTGCTTCTGGGGAGGTTTCCAGGATGCTCTGACTGTGAGAAGTAAATAGGCCTTGTTTTGTTCCTTTTCTTACCTTACTTTTCTGTGGTATTGTACTGTGCTGATGTTATTTTCCTCCTGTAATTCTCCTTTCAGTCTTTTTGAGGTCCTCTTCTGAAGTCTTTTCCTATTCCTCCTGACCCATGATTTTTGCTTGTTCCTTCTCTGCCCCTGCCATTAGGAGTGTCCCTTAAGGCTCTGTCTTTAGCTCTCTCTATGGCTTACTGTGAATCCTTCCCAGCATGACTGTGTCTATCCCATGCTTTTTTTTTTTTTTTTTTAAGATTTTATTTATGTATTTGACACAGACACAGCGAGAGAGGGAACACAAGCAGGGGGAATGGGAAAGGGAGAAGCAGGCATTGTGCCCATTGAGCAGGGAGCCCGATGCGGGGTTCAATCCCAGGATCCTGGGATCATGACCTGAGCTGAAGGCAGATGCTTAATGACTGACCCACCCAGGTGCCCCTATCCCATGCTTTTAACTACTGCTTTTGCACTCCTGACTCCCAGATCTCTTTTTTAAAAAAGATTTTATTAATTTGGATGGCAGAGGGCAGAGATTGTATGGAGGGAGGGGCAGAAGGAAAGAGAGAATCTCAAGCAGACTCTCTGCTGAGCATAGCCTGACACGGGGCTCAGTCTCATGACCCTGTGATCATGACCTGAACTGAAATCAAGAGGACGCTTACCCAAATCTATCTTTTGTCCAGATTTTTCTCTTGTGTTTTAGGCCTGTATTTCCATCCCTCTCCTGGACCTGTCCTACTTGATTTCCCATGTCCCATATTCAAAAGCATACACAGTATGTTTGGAACGACATAGCCTAACAGTAGCAATTGCTTCTCCACAGCTGCCCACCTTGGTCAGTGGCGCAGCTGGTCATGAAAGGCACTCTCGTGAGTCCCCTCAGCTGCTCTCTGTGTTTGAATGCTGCCATGTCTGAGGGCACCAGCTTCTCTCTCACACGGCTCCCGTGAAGCCGTAATCTGGTCTCGGTTCTCATTGCCCCTGCCACAGTTTAGATGTCCCTCCTTCCCCGCTTTATAGCACAGTCCTTAAAGCATGTACTCTGAAGCCAGACAGCGTGGGTTGTGATTTTGGATGTGCCACGGATCACTTATGTGACTTTTGTCCGTGCCTCAGTTCCCTCATTGGTAAAATAGGGATAACAAGTCATGGTGAGGATGAAATGTGTTAACAGATATCGAGTGTTGAAAATAATGGCCAGCACTGTTCTGGCTGACCTCTGTATCCCTGGTCTGTTCTTCTAAAGTGTTTTGACTTGTGCTCACTTCGGCAGCATATATACTAAAGTGTTTTCGACTGTGCTGCAACGTCAGCTTTCAGAAATGGACATCTGACCACATCATTCTCTTTTTAAGATCTCTGTGGCTTCTGATGGTCCGACCACCACTTCTGTCCAGCTCGTCTCCGTTGTCCCTTTCCCCTCACACACTGCTACAGCTATATTCACTAATCAGCAGTTTTCCAAAGAAGATGTGATCGTGCATGCCTTGGCGTCTTTGTACATGCTGTTTCTTCTGCTCGAAGTGTCCTTCCTTACCGGTTTTATCTGTGAATCTTCAGCAATCCTTCAAGACCATGTTTATTTTTTACATTCACTTCCCACTTTTTTTTTTTTTAAAGTATTTATTTGAGAGAGAGAGAGTGTGTGTGCGAGTCGGGGGAATGGCAGAGGGCGAGAACCTCAGGCAGACTCCCCCACCAAGCACGTAGCACGACTTGGGCCTCAAACTCACAACCCATGAGATCATGACCTGAGCTGAAACCACTAGTCGGATGCCCAGCTGACTGAATCACCCAGGTGCTCCTCACTTGTCACTTTTTAACTAGTCACATCCATCAATTAAGCAGTCATAGCCAGCAGTTACTGAAACCCAAGTATAATGGTGTTCTGGAAGATAGAAGAAAATATAACGTGTTCTTCAGGGGCATGCAGTCTAGTAGGGGAACAGGACAGAGAGATGTACAGCAGCAAGGGACTGTCCCTGAGAATGCTAAGTGGATTGGCATTCCAGAGAAGGACAGAATCACCGCTCACAGATACAGGGGAGTGCAGGGTGTTAGGGTGGCTAGAAAGGCTTCATGGAAGAGTTGCGGTTTGAGGATGGTAAGATCTGCACAGGTGGAGGGAGGGGGTAGATCCTGTGGCTCAGGGAACAGAAGGCACAGAGGTAGCAGTTGTCAAGCTGAGTGGAAGAAGCCTGATGAGAAGACATGTGCGTTGAGTGCCAAGGTCATAAGCCACGCAGAGTCACGGGGGTCTCGAGAGCCAAAGCATCTTGAGGGATGAGTGTGTTCTCATGTTCTACCCTGTGCCAGGCCACACTGGAGCCTGATGCAAAGGGAGAACTCAGCAACAACCGATCCCATCTTCATTCAGAATTTTGATACACTGTTCATCATGGGCTTTTTTTGGCATTAATTTTGATTTTTTTAAAATATTGCATTAAAACATGATTTATTTTGGTTACTGCATTTTTTGGCACTCCCTTAAATTTTGTGCCCGAGGTCATTTCCTCATTTACTTCATTCAGCCTAGTCCCTGCCCTGTGTTCTGGTTCTGGTTCTGGTTCTGAAGTTTGGTGGAGGGGACATGGGTATTTACTTTATTGTTATTATTATTAATTATGGTTTATTCATTTTGTACATGTTCTTTGATTAGTAGTATTTCGTAAAAAGCAATTAAGGTAAATTAGAATTTTAAGAAGATTAATTTGGAACTTTGGAGCCTGAAAACCATGAAAGGGAAAATAATAATTTGTGCTTCCAAGTCAATTTCTGGAGGACAATAACTTCTTCTTGCTGCAGTGCATGCAGTGCATGCAAAAGGAGTTGTTTTGCTCACATCTAAATGGGGGAAGGATCACTGGAGGGTCGGGGTATTAGAGGCTTTTGTCCACTTGGAGACAGACATTAAGCAACTGAGTTGCTGTAGCCAAGGGCTAGACTTGGCCCACATCTCAGATAAAGCAAACCTGTCTCGCCCTGCTCAAGGAGCAGCTGCTCTCTGGTCACTGTGCTTACACTGTGGGCCATCACACAGGCGCCATGGCCCAAGAAGCAGTGGAAGATTCATGAACTCTCTAAACTTCTCAGGGCTACTTGTATCCAGGAAAGAGGTGATGTTTGACACAAAGAGTATTACTAGTACATCTAAAAACGTGAAGTCTTTTGTTCATTAGCGCACTCGTGACTCATGGAAGATGATTTGGCACCAGGAAGTCAATGAGCATCGGCACAAATCTCAGAGAAGGCTGAGGGGAAGGTGGAAAGGGGCAAGCTGCCCCCAAGAGTGCCACCAGGCACACTGCCCTGTGATTTGATGGGGATCGTCCACATATCCAGCATGAGCTGCTTCAGTCTCATGGTAGACATTTTGGCATGATATGGAGAAGCCACAGGCTGCATTTTACCATCAGAGGAGTGGGTGGTCAGAGAAGATGGCTCCTTCCTGAGGCCCCAGACCATGATCTGCTTGACTCACCCCTGCTGGGTTGCTGACCCCTCTTGTTGGCACAGCCAGCACAGCCAGAACTGAAGGAGAAATCAAAGAGTTTCCCAGACAATCAAAAGCTGACGGAGTTCATCACCACCACAATGGCCATACAAGAAATGGTAAAGGGAATTCTTCAGGCTCTTGAACAAAACACCTGAACAGGATGAAAACTTCTGCGCAAGAACTGCTTCTGGGAGAAGTTCTAGAGTGAATGACTGTCATCAAGCCAGAACTCAGCCACTGCAGAACCCTTACTGCTTAGAGCTACCTGGAGTCCACATGGGGAAGAATCACGCAGCCTCTGGATTTGCCTATCGTTGTCTTCATCGGTACTCCACTTCAGCCTCTGTGAAACACTGGGGTCGTGTCCAAGGATCTTCTCAGGCTCCTTCCCAGGGAGCAAATGTCTTAGAATCATACCAGACCTCCTTTGAGTATGGCAGAAACATATCGACCACATGGTAGCTCTAGGTTCTCTGACTGGATAAAGCAATAAGGCACTTCCTTTGAGGCAACTCTGTTGAGCCTGGCTTCTCTAGCCCTGTCGTGAGATATTCTAAGCTTCCGTGTTCCTTCAAAATCATGTTTTAACCTCCTGTGAAAACCTGGCCCTCTCCATGTACAGTTGATCCCTCCCTTCCCACTACCCACGATGGATTTCAATGACTGGTTTCCATGACCATCTGCTCCACAAGGCTGTGAACCCTGGGGAGGTGGTGGGAACTGTAGCCTTTCCTCTCCCTCCCCTCGTGCAGGGTCTTTACAGTGATTGACCCAGAATAGATAGTCCATAAACAGTGAATCAGTAATCAGGGGTTCAGAGTGTACTGAGATTTTTATACTTCTTCCTTCAATTTCTTCAGGCTGCAAGAATTAGTCGATCGAGTGCTAGAACGCTTTCAGGCATCTGGACTAATAGTTAAAGAGTGGAATAGTGTGAAACTCCATGCGACGGTGATGAACACTCTATTCAGGAAGGACCCCAATGGTGAGTCCTGTATAGAACTGTAGCATAATTTATGATCAGCAAGGCCTTGTGATATTTCTGGGGTTCAAACAAGACTGGCTACCCAAGACTCTCTGGTAATCTTCTTCCTTTGAATCTCTAACTTGTTTTGATGAGCACAGTGGAAGTGGACAGGGAATGTATCTAGCGTGGGACCGTGACATTCCAGATCCTTGATTTCTGTTGCACATAGGGTTGGCAGATTTAGCGAAAAGAAATACAAGAGGCCCAGGTAAATTTTAGGTAAAGAGTGAAAAATTATTTTAGTATAAGTGTGTCCCCTGAAATACTTGGTGTCTTCTTGGAAAAAAGAAAGAAGGAGAGAAGATTAGGTTAGTCCAGTGGTTGTCAACTACAGACAAATCTGCCCTGTGCCCCCCTCCCCCCACCCCAGGACATTTGGTTGTCACACTTAGGGTATGTTGCTACTCCTGGCATCTAGTGGGAAGAGGCTGGGAATGCTGCTTATTAACTCTCTACAATGGACAGGCCAGCCTACCTTAACAAAGAAGTATCTAGAAATGTCAATATCACCAAGGTTGAGAAACCTGGTGTTAAGAGTAATAATGTTTCCTCTCATGGAATCTGAGCCTTATGTAAGAATGCCTTGCTTTAACCCTTCAGTTGGGATGGTTACCTACATTTCAAAAAGGATTCTTCTTTTTTTTCCCATTGCCTTCCCCGCCCTACCCCCAAGTGAAAGGTTTTCTAGCACAGTCAGCATCATCTGATCAGGAGCCACATATTCAAATTACATGCAGCTTCTCCTTCTAAAACTTGCTTGAAATATACCAGCACCAAAAATCTCATGTTCAGGTTTTATTTCCTTTGTTTAGGACCTGACCTTGGTTTTAGGAAGTTTAGGTTGGAAGAGGACTCCATCAGGACTTGAACCCATAAACTCTTTGTAGATTTATACTTTAGGACAGGTTGTGTGTCCCTTTTGTCAAAGTACAGTTGACCCTTAAACAATAGTTCGCATTGTGCCGGTCCACTTATACAAGGAATTCTTTCAGTAACTACAGCATAGTACTATAAACGTATTTTCTGTTCCTTACAATTTTTTTTTAAAGACTTTATTTATTTGACAGACAGAGATCATAAGTAGGCAGAGAGGCAGGCAGAGAGAGAGGAAGGGAAGCAGGCCCCCTACTGAGCAGAGAGCCCGATGGGTGTGGGGCTTGATCCCAGGACCTGAGCCAAAGGCAGAGCTTGAACCCACTGAGCCACCCAGGCGCCCCTGTTCCTTCCAATTTTCTTTTTTCTTGGGACACCTAGATGGCTGTCAGTTAAACATCTGCCTTTGGCTCAGGTCATGATTCCTGAGTCCCAGGATCGAGCCCCACATTGAGCTCCCCACTCAGCGGGGAGTCTGACCTCCCCCTTCTTGTGCTCTCTCTCACTCTCACTCTCTCAAATAAATAAAGTAAGGCAAAAAATATTTTCTTTTTTCTTGTTTACTTTATTGTAAGGATGCAGTATATAATACATATAATATACAAAATATGTATTAATTGGCTGGTTGTATCATCAATAAGGGTTTTGGCCAACAGTAGTTTGGTTTTAGGGAGTCAAAAGTTACACATGAACTTCACCTGCCTGAGGGTTGGTGCCCCTAATCCCCATTGTTCAAGGGTCAGCTGTACATCTTTTTCTTTCTCTCAGACATGTGCCAAAGATCCCAACTGGAAGTCCCTTGCCATTGTAGGACTAAGAGATATGTAGTTGTCCACATTTTAGTTATAGTGTTAATGTTTTGTGATGTTAGATTATATTTTATTTAAGATTTTTCTAAATAAATCACTATTTTACCTTCAGGAGCACTGAGATCAAAATTGGTTCAAATGACTCAGTCAAAGCATATAGACTGTTGTTTGGGTACTTAATAGAATCCAAAACTCTATACTTGTTCTGATGCAATACTTTTTTTTTTTTTTTTTTTTTTGCATTTGGGTAGTAGTATTGTGGAAGAATATCTGGAATTTCGGAAAATATATTTTCTGGAATATTTCACATTTATATATGTATATATGTATGTATGTATATTTATGTATGCTTGTATATCCATATACATTTATAGGTACCTTGTCCACTGGGGACATTTAAAGGAGTCTGTGGTATTTATTTTGTTCTGGGTGGTCAGTTTTAAGTTTGGAAGCATAGTCAGATCCTCTGAGATGATGTACTTTTTAACATCTCTATGTAAAGACATAGTTCTAGAACTCTAGAATATACTCTCAATACTTTGGTTCAGAAGACATATTATATCCAGTATCATCCAGTAGAACTCCCTGTGATGATAGAAATATTCTCTACCTGTGATGTCCAGTGTGGTAGCCACTATCCACATGTAGTTATTGAGCACTTAGAGGTTGCTACGAGGCTGAGAAAGTGAACTTTTCATTTTAATTAATGTAAATTATTTAAATTTAAATAATCACATGTGGCTAGAGGCTACTAATTTGGACAGTGCAAGTATAGACAGTATTTTATTAGACATTTAATGCTATCAGCAGTACATTCTGAAAATGCCCTAGTCCTTAAATCTTGCTTTAGAACTCTTACCATACTCCTTTATTAACCACATTTTGACATAGAAGAGTTGAATTATAAAGGAATCTGTATCTACTAAATTGTGTGGATCCAGATTTATATTCAGTTAGCACTAGAGCTCCATGTAAGAAAACATTCTAGTTCACAGTCTAGTTATCTTTTCCTACTAGAGATAGTTTGAATATAACACCTTTATTGAGATATAATTCACATACTGTATGATTCACTCATTTAAAATACATAATTCAAGGGCGCCTGGGTGGCTCAGTCGGTTAAGCATCCAACTCTTGATTTTGGCTCAGGTCATGATCTAAGGGTTGTGAGATTGAGCCCCCCCATGGGGCCCTGCACTGGGCATGGAGGCTACTTGAGATTCTCTCTCCCTCTACACCCCCTACCCTTGCCATTTCAATCTTCAGATATCATTACTGTTTTTTTTTTCTTTTTCTTTTTTTTTAAGTAGGCTCCAGCATGGGGCTTGAACTCAGGACCCTGAGATCAAGACCTGAGCCGAGATCAAGGGTTGGACACTTAACTGACCAAGCCACCCAGGTGCTCCTCATTACTGCTTTGTAATTGATATTTGCTTAGTATGAATTTAAAGTTTCACATCACTTCTTGGGGCACCGGCATGTGGGTGGTGCAGTCAGTTGAGCATCCGACTCTTGGTTTCTGTTCAGCTCCTGATCTCAGGGTCATGAGATCAAGCCCCACTTTGGACTCTGTGCTCAGTGTGGAGTCTGCTTGGGATTCTCTCTCCCTCTCCCTCTGCCCCCGCCCCGCCCTAGGGGCACATGCGTGTGCATGTTCTCTCTGTCTCTCTAAATTAAATAAATATATCTTTAAAGTTTCATATCTCCTCTTAACAGGGGACTGGTTTTTAATTTGGGAAATATACATGGTTTTGAGATCTTTGAATAAGAGAGTACTTTTTCATTAGAAGTTACCAAAGTGTAATTCCGGTAGACTAGTTAACATATGTTATGCTCATGGAGTTACTGACCTGGACATATTTTACCAATTCTGACTTGGTAGTCTCCATATCTATATATAATAAAAGAGCATATTCCAGAATTGGAAGTACAGATATTTTTGAGGGTCTCTTGGTGGGCAGGAAAGGGGTTGATGTTTTAGAAAATATTCTGAGGGGGGGCGCCTGGGTGGCTCCGTGGGTTAAGCCGCTGCCTTCGGCTCAGGTCATGATCTCAGGTTCCTGGGATCAAGTCCCGCATCGGGCTCTCTGCTCAGCAGGGAGCCTGCTTCCCTCTCTCTCTCTCTCTGCCTGCCTCTCTGTCTAGTTGTGATCTCTCTCTGTCAAATAAATAAATAAATAAATCTTTAAAAAAAAAAAAAAGAAAAATATTTTGAGGGTTAAATAATTCTTAAGGACGCTTTGAATTTTCTATATCTTAGGTTCTTCTCTGGTTGAATTTTTACTTGAAAAGGACATAGAATGTGGTGTTTCACTCTTTCTTACCTGCCATCCCTCTCCTTTGAAATCCTTTTTCCTGCTATACTTTACAGATGTCTTTTGGGATTAGCAAGCTAAATTAACACAAGGTCATAGATTCACTGCATTTCTGTGTATAATGTTTGTAAAGACACCTTTGATTTCAACTGAAAGGGGCTCTCTCATTTTGGGGGAGTCCTTAAACCGGCCCACTTAATGTTGGTTGCAACCCAAATTAATGTTGCCAGCATTTTTGACTACTAAATGTGTGAATTTTTAAATATATTTACATATTTAAAAATGCATATAGCTTATACAAAATCTTCGGTTTTTAGACCGCAGGGAACCTTTGGAGATCACCTAGTCTTAACCTGGAACTGCATAAGTGAACTGAAGTCCATGGAGGAGACATAATTTACCTAATAATATGGCTCATTTTACATGCACAAACATACCCCCCACATCTTCTTTATCCATTCATCTATCGATGGACACTTAGGTTGCTTCCATATCTTGGCTATTGTAAATACTGTTGCAATAAACATAGGGGTACATATATCTTTTGGAATTAGTGTTTCCATTTTCTTTGAAAACAGAAGTGGAATTACAGGATTATGTGGTATTTCTATTTTACTTTTCTTTATGGAACCTCCATACTGTTGCTTCAGTTTGTGTTCCCACCAACAGGGCATGAGGGTTCCTTTTTCTCTGTGTCCTTGCCAACACTTGTTATCTCTTGTCTTTCTGATGAATGGGTAAAGAAGATGTGTGTGGTGGTGTGTGTACATGTGTACACATACACAATGGACTACAACTCAGCTATAAAAAAGAATGAACTTTGCTGCTTGTGACAACATGGATGGACTAAGAGCATATTATGCAGAGTGAAATAAATCAGACAGAGAAAGACAAATACCAAATGATTGTATGTATATGTAGAATCTATACATTTTTTTAAAGTGTATTTGTTTATTATTAGAGAGAGAGAGTGCATAGAGGGAAAGGAGGAGGAGAAGCAGACTCCCTGCTGGGCAGAAAGCCTGACCTGGAGCTTGATCCCAGGACCCTGAGGTCATACCTGAACCAAAGGCTTAACTGACTGAGCCACCCAGGCACCCCTTTGCTTCCATGTAGAATCTAAAAAAACAAACAAACAGAAGCACATTCATAAATATAGAGAACAAACTGGTGGTTGCCAGAGGGGACATGGGGATGGGGTTGGCAAAATAGGTAAAGGGGATTAAGAGGTACAAATTTCCAGTTATAAAATAAATAAGTTACAGAGCTGTAAAGTACAGCATAGGGGATACAGCTAGTAATATTGTAATAACATTGCATGACAGATGGTGAGTGGCAAATGGTGGCTACAGTGAGTGATGTATAGAATTATCATATCACTATGTTGTACACCTGAAATTAATATAACATTGTATGTCCACTATACTTTAAAAAAAAGAATATGGTTAATTACATAGGTAACATACCTTGAGTACTTGGACAGTGTTGAATGAATAAATGTGTACTAAATTAATGACCTCACTGAGACTGGATACCAGGCCTCTTGACTCAGACTGATGTTTTCCCTCCTATTATGCCACAATCCCGGTAGTACATGAGGATTTTGCTTGTTGTACCTATAGAAACCCAAAAGAAAACAAATGTAAATAACCCAAGCATCTCTTCTAACATTATCTTTGAAATATTTACAGCTGAAGGCAGGTACAATCTCTATACAGCTGATGGCAAATACATCTTCAAGGAAAGAGAATCATTTGATGGGCGAAACATTTTAAAGGTCAGTACATAACAGGGTGAATTGGAAATCCTTTGGCATGTGTCCTAAGATAAGAGCAGAAAACAAGTCGTTCTTCTTTTAACAGTAAAATATATTTTTCTCATTCTTCTCATGAGGATCATTGCTTCAAAGGTCTGGCAAAACACACACACACACATACACATACGTGTATGTGTGTGTGTGTGTGTGTGTGTGAATGTCCTAAAGGAAATAAAATCTTTATTTTCCTAAAGGAAAATAAATCTTTTTGAATCTGCTGAGGCTGTGATGTCTCTTAGAACCCTGACTACTTGAACTCATAGGAATACGTTGATTTTAACCTAGGGAGTTTTACTCTATATTTTACCTCTGTAGGACTAGGTCTGCATTTTTTTTTAAGTTAAAAAGAATTATTTATTTTGTTCTAGTAGACTTTTCACCTATAGTCCCTCTCTAAAGTTCTTTTGTAATCTGTTTTCATTCAGGAATAGCCCATGTTCTGAAAAGTAGGTGGTCTCTGACTGTTGAGGCTTTGCTTCTTGAGTGTTAAATTAACCTATGAAATTTCCATAAAAAGGGTTCTTCAGGGTGGCATTTATCTTTCTCCTACAGACCACATTCTGTAACAACCACAATTTATGCCGTCTCTGTCAGATTAGCATGTCATTGTGCCTCTGGGCAAACGGAAACAGAAGTTGATACAACGGAGAGGTTTTGGATTCTTCATTTCACTTGTTCTGTAATGATTTAGGTCATACATTTTCAAGGCCATACATTTTTGGGAGCTAGGGGTAGAGTGTGTGTATATAACTTCAGAATAATCTTTAGCTTTAAAAATGCTTTTTCTTTTTCCTTCCCCCCTTCATCCTCTATTGCCTTATCCGGGTACTGGGCACTTTTCTTGCCAAATGCCTAGTGTGACCCCATTACCTTTAATTGATGACATCACTTCAGCAGCTGCAAAGTTCTTACTGCAGAGCCTGACATGGCAGTGACCAGATTCCCTCTTAGGCAGGCATTCAGGCTCCTACCCGGCAGAGCTATGTCAATTTCTTCTTTTCCTTGATACCTTTCCTCTTTTTTGAGTGGTTTTCTTGTTGTCAGAGTAACTGTGGTAGCTTTGGTTTGAGTGGCAAGCTGCTAATTACTTCAGCTGTAGTTTACTTATTTTCCCAGTCCCCAGCTTCAGTGTGATATGATTCTTTTTCCTCCGCCATCTCATTTCCTGGGGCTTTTCCAATAATAGCGTTAATCACTTTGCTTTTTTGTTGTTGTTGTTGTTGTTGTTAGTTTGATTAAGAAAGAAAGTAGACCGAACAGGGAAAGAAATCTGTAGGAATGACTCAAGCCAACTTGATTCTTTTGGAATTAGGATTACAGCTCCAGAGGTGTGCGGATGAAAGTCAAGTGCGGGGTGCTGTGCCCTCTGGATGAGGGAGGTGATGGCAGAGAGCATGTGCCGTGGCTGGAGAGCCAGTCTTCCAATTTAAAGATGCCTTGCCTCTAAGTCTTCCTCACCACCCCAGTGGTGACATGGATGTAGCTCCCTCTAGTGTTAACAAGGGCTTGCTATGTTGGTCATACCCTTACTGGTTCATGTCTCCTAGGAGTTTTAAGAGCTGGGCTCAGCCAGGGACTTGAGACCATTTAATCCACAAGATCCAATGTGGTTAAAGCAACTTGCCAAAGGTCACAGCTAGTTAGTAGCCAAGTCTGAATTAACAGAAAGATTCAAATCACAGGGTTAGAATTGTTTCTGCTGCCTCCCATAAAAATGCTCAGTGTTTAGGTAGAGATCCTTAGGTATTTGAAGTTGGGCATACCTGTTTGAAGTGTGATGAAATCTGATTAGAAATCATTCCATAAATGTTGGGGCAGTGGTGTGTGCCAGTTAGCCTAAAATCGTGGCTAATTAAGAATTAGACTTTGAATTGAATGCAGTACTAACACATTAACAGAAATACTTATGAGGGTGTACCATCTGCCAGACCGTGTGCCCTGCAGATAAAAGCAGCCATTATGATGAGTCCCTGCCTTCTAGGGGCTTCCTGTCTTTGAGGCATACGGACGGTTAATAGGCAATTACAGTATAGAACGATGGGGGTGAATTATGAGTATGGAGAAGTACCGTTGAACACAGATAGTTAGAATAAAGTGTCCTTTGATTCAGTGTCCAGTATTTTACTTTTTAGTCATTAGCTGCAGAAAACGTAATCTTTCACCTATATTCAGTCAAGGGAATTCACTTTGAGAATAAAGGTAAAACGTGGCCTCCCACCATTACCTATGCCCAAACGCACAAGAGGTAATAATTGTGTCTGTGAAGTAGCTATAGTAGCCCACTTTTTGGAATTACCATGAATGAACATGCCTCTCTCAGAACATGAGAACCCACAGGCCCAGAAACCCTTGGGGAGAAAAAGAGTCTAAAAACCAATGAATTATATATGGTTCTGTGCCAGATAAGATTATTATGTTGAGAAGGAAAAAACATCAATTTCACTAACAAGATAGGAACTGACTTGGAGAAAACTGAAAGGTTAACTGCACTGGCTGTTCAGGGGCCCGAGCATATGTGTGTAGCATATTAACAGCTGCATAGGTCAAGGATCAGGAATGCTGGTGATGAGAAGCAGCCTTGGAAAAAAATCAACTTCATCTACTATTCAAAGAGAAACAACGAGAAAGCAAGTCATTGCTCATTGCCGTAAGAATTTAATAAGTAACGGCCAATTGCTATTCTACTCCATGAAGAGAATTGGTCCTTTTGGCTTGGTGTAATATTATGTGTTCTGGGTGCCTTAATAAGAAAGAGAAAAAGTCTTTAATGACTTTGGGAGGTAGAAGCCACATTTTTCTTTTGTATGGCCCTTTCGAGAGTTGTTACCGCAGTAATAAACCAGCATCGAGTTATTCCTAGCTAAAATAAGAATGTTCTTACCTTAAGAAGGACTTTGGAGGAACTGACAACTAAAGAACCACTGTACTGTGTTTTTTGAAACAGAAAAGGAACCTATTTAGTTACAGTGGGTTGTGAGGGAAGCCTGACAGCTCTGAAAGAATGTACAAGGGAAGAAGACCTAGGCCAAACACAGAGGGTAGTCACTGCTCAGAGAGTTTCTGTTTCTGATCTAAGAGATAAGAACAAAGATGTTCTTTGTTCATCCCTGAGGCAGTTGTAAACTTGTGATTGGAGAAACCATGCTGACCTAGAGACATACTGCCAGAGATAACTGCCCCCTTGCAAGCAGACCGCCAGTGACTGCCAGCTTCGCAGAGAGAAGTGGTCTTAGTGGCAGTCTATTTGGGGGGCCTCTGAGCTGGCGTTAAGCCGTAGAATCACTCTGCCAGAACTGTGCTGCAGCACATGGAACAGGTACGGTATTACCTGTTCGAAAGCATGGCATCTAACTGCAGAGTGAAGAGGAGATATCCGAGCCTGAGCTGGTGCTCACCAAAGGAGGTGGTGTTGTGCAAACAAAGGCACAGGTGATGTATTTGGGAAGGAATAGAAAGAAAGTGCTCTCTCTCGGTCCAGAATCAAAGGCCACCATGAAAGTGCCATTTCTTGAGCACCTGGGTGGCTCAGGGGGTTAAGCCTAAACTGCCTTTGGCTCAGGTCATGATCTCAGGGTTCTGGGATCGAGGCCTGCTCTCTGCTCAGTAGGAAGCCTGCTTCTCCCTTTCTCTCTGCCTGCCTCTCTGCCTACTTGTGATCTCTCTCTCTGTCAAATAAATAAATACAGTCTTAGAAAGAAAGTGCCATTTCTTTAGACACCTAAAAATTCTGGAAAATATAAACTAAGTAAAAAGGAGGTGGATTTGTGCCTTTTCCACTTTATATACAGGAATCTTTAAATTTAGAGAAAGAGGGAACCGTATTAAGTTTTTCTTTTAAGATTTATTTATTCATTTTGGGGGGTGGAGGAGCAGAGGGAGAGGGACAACGGAAGCCAACTCCCTGCTAAGTATGGAGCCCCAGTGTAGGCTGATCCTAGCCCCCTAAGATCATGCCCTGAGCTGAAACCAAAAGTCCAATTCTTTTTTTAAAAAAAATTTTTTTTTAAGATATTATTTATTTATTTGACACAGAGAGATCACAAGTAGGCAGAGAGGCAGGCAGAGAAAGAGGAAACAGGCTCCCTGCTGAGCAGAGAGCCCAATGCGGGGCTCGATCCCAGGACCCTGGGATCATGACCTGAGCCGAAGGCAGAGGCTTAACCCACTGAGCCACCCAGGCGCCCCCCAAGAGTCCCAATTCTTAACCGACTGAGCCACCCAGGCTCCCTAAACTGTATTAATTTTTGATACTTTACTTGGAAATAGGTTTTATTTTATTTTTTTTTTATTTATTTATTTGACAGAGATCACAAGTAGGCAGAGAGGCAGGCAGGGTGGGGGGGACAGGCTCCCCGCTGAGCAGAGAGCCCGATGAGGGGCTTGATCCCAGGACCCTGGGATCATGACCAAGCCAAAGGAAGAGGCTTTAACCCACTGAGCCACCCAGGTGCCCCTGGAAATAGGTTTTAATCTATCTAGCCACATTGAGACTTTCCTTGAAAGATGTAAATGACAGTAACTAAAAAACTTCATTCATTTTTGCTTTTGTTCTATCTCTGCCCCTTAACATCTTTACAGAAGGACGGGTCGAATAAGTAAATTTAAATGAGATCTTTATTTAATTTGCTTAAGGAAGCTATTTAAAAATATGTACTATTTTATCTCTTTTGATGAAACATATACATAGAAAAGTACATGAAATACACACACACACACACTCACACACACACAAATACTGTTTAACAAATAATCATTAAGTGAACAGTGTAACTACTACCAAGGTCAAAAAGGAGAACATAACCTCCCATGTCCCTCCCTGGCCGATTCCAGTTTGTCCTAAGGTAACAAAGTCACAATTAAATTCTTCAAACACCAGTAAAGATGCTTGTTTTGAACGATTACTTTTGTTTCACAGTATTAGAAGAGTATTGAACAGCTGAATTCATTTTTGTTGTTTTCTA